AACAACGTAAGCTCCAGCGTAAATTGAGGGCACTACACACCTACTAACAATTTCCAGCTCTAAAACCCCACAGCAGTTAGGTAACATTCCTGTTCTCTCCTCAAGGTTGGAAATAGCTGTCACAGGTACAAGCTGCAGCTTTGACCTGGTCATGGAGTGAAACCTCCTCATGTTTCTATTGCCCCTAGCGTGGAAGCACGTATCCTTCTCTCTCTTCAAGTGGATCATGCGCAGAAGCACCCTGAGTATTGACCTGGCTTGCCCAGCAGGTCAGACTGGGTTCAAATCCTCTGGTGATTCCTCAAACTATTGATTTATCTTAACAATGTATACAAAAACTTAAGAGAAAATGTGGTTTGTTTTTTTTAACCGGAAAGTCAGTCTGCTTCATACATTATTTAGATTGCTGCTTTCCTTTTGGAGTGACACATAGGATGCTTCGCTTACATAGTCATACCTTATCTCTGGGGTCTTGCTGTCAGTCTTTTACGTTACCCATCTTTCCCACTGCTTGACAGGCTGTGTTTCTTTAAATCTATTTTTCTTTTGTGTTATCCATTGTGGAGGCCTCCTGACAAACCAGCCCAGGTTGGTCAGCAGGGATCAAAAATAGCCAATCAAAGTGAATGCATCTTAACACTGTCGCTTAAGTTGTGGCAGATATCATTCTACTTTCACTTGTTATGTGTCCTCTTCCTGAGCAAAGCCCACACAGTCATACAGTCAATTCCTCTGCAGCCATCAGAGTAACACGAAACATTTAGGGGCCAAAAATTCTTACAAAAAGCTTGACTTCTGCCAGAGAGGTTACAAATGGAGAAAAGCAGAGGGTCAAACAATCCAAGATAAAGAAATGTGCCTGAGCACAAGATTTGAAATAATATAGCTGCTCTAAATCATGCAGGTTCTACATAAACAGTCCCTTTGTCTAGAGACAGAAAGCAGGTACTCTGGCTGGGGGAGCGACAGGAAATCTCAGATCTCTGACAGTGCAGGTAATTAGGCAGGTGATTTACTCCTGTCTATTTTATGCCCTTCCCCTCTCTCCCTTGTTTTTGTACTTATTCAGATTACAAAATCTCTCCAGAACGAGCTTTTGCATGTTCAGACAACATGCAGTGCATGCGAAATATATCCAGCCTTACCTGAGGGCCAGCGGGACCTAAATAATACAAATTGCACCAACCAATCTACGGTTAGATCAACTGGTTCATAAAGATTGCAGCAAAAGACACCGTCTTTTGCATTAAATCCGGACAAACAGGGCCGAAGAATGCTCTGAGCCAAAATCCTGTAAAAATAGATTCTACAACTAGACAGCGAAGGAACCTCTTATGCAAAGTACAGCGGAGCTTTTCCTTCCCACAGGAGTTGCCAGCGCCTGGCAGCTCAAAAGAACAAGCACACAGGCGACAAATCTCGTCTCGTATCATGACAAAATAAGCTCAGCAAGACTTCCTTTTTTTTAACAGCATAGCAGCATTTGATGAAGTTAGGCTTTGGCTCCTTCATGCCAAGCGTCCAGAACCAGAAACGCTTTTACAGATCTGATATCACTCAATGAAACCAGATCTTTTTTTAATTGAACTGTCATCAGTTGGGATCCACGCTCTTTATCTCACTATCCCAACCTTGATGATTCCCTGTAAGGTTTCAGATAAAAAACGCACATTCACCCTTTGCACGGGAAGAAAAGAGGCATCTGACTCAGACTGGGGTTCTAAAAAGACATTCTCCTGCTGCAAAAGATACTTTGCGGGGAAAGGGGGTGGGCATTTCCTACAATTAAAGGAATCTCCACCTTTTTACTGCTGACTAAGAAGAACAGCCTCCAAACAAATAGCAGAGGTATCTCTCTCTCTCTTTCCCATCTAACTCATCCTGCCCAGATTTCCCACAATATTCTGTTTTTCCATACATTGGTGTTAGCTGAAAATCCTAAAGGGATTTACAGATACATGGGGAATAAGACTGGAAAACTTAGTTCACTGTTCTGCAGGGTGAGTCCCCTATTGTGTAAGAGGTCCAGCTGCACAGGGCTCACGGCTCGTGTGTCCCAAGCCCGTTTATTAGGGTGGGATAAGCAACGGTGACAGCAAAAGGTGGAGCGGTCCTCATTTCATCAGGCAAACAGCGCCACACCAGCACTCGTGAGTTTTACTATATGTCATTTCACTTCTCACCACCACTTACTTGGCACAACATACATAGCGAACCGAGGGATTCAGTTCATTGAAAATTAGTAATAGAGAAAGTAACGCTCAGTGAGCTCCCTTTCTCCTATCGTATGGAAGGACGTCAACAAGTTGATTGTCAAGACTCGGAAGCAGTGTATGAGCCACGAGAACGGATAATAAGAGACCTTGAGGCATAAATGTTTCTGCATAAATTACAAAAGACAATCAACAACAGAATATTTGTTGAAACGAGAAGTACAACATTATCTGTGAAAATTGGTACCCTTGCTCTACTGAAGCGATGGGGAATTTTTTCCTTGCCGAAGGCTGAAAAGTTCATGCTCAAAAACAAATCTCTGCTTGATTCAGTAGTAAAACAACAAAAATCAGCTGAAATCAGACCTTGGCTCAGCGTCCCCTTCTTTCCTCTGTTGGAAATCGTAAAATAACACACAGAAATTGATTAAACACCTACAATACACCAACTACAATGACTGAGACACATGAAATTACCTGAAACTCATCTTTTATCTGGCTGGAATTGGTCTGTGGATCTAGTCTGCTGATGTTGTAATATATGGATCTGAACTCACAAACTGGAATGGCCGTGTTGCCACAGAGACATGCCTCCAAAATGGCATCATGGACAAATACATACTGCTCCTGCACAGGGGAGGGGATAAGATATTAAAATCGTATTGTTAATACAGTTCATGAAATATCACTGCTTTGTTTTTCTTAAATCATGCCCAATATGCATATTTGGCTCTGTTTCACGTGGAGACAAATTACAGTGTGTTATGTGACAGCTTTGTGAGCATATTTCATCCATCATTGAACGTGAGGTCTCATGTATTCATCTCAAATTTACAAGTCAAATGGGAAGTCACCACTCTCAGGAACGCTGAGACGAAACGGGGGTGGATTGAGGAGGAAATCAGGGTGTAAAGCCCTTTTGTTCACAATCACGAGGAAACGGGCAGGAATGGATTGTGCTTTGGATCTACGATAACACCAGCAGGAACAGTTGTACTAACAGGTCTCCATCTGTCTTCAAAATTCCTGGACTCCTGGTATTCCAAGGAAAGTTCTTTCCCCGCACTAAGTATGAGAAGTCCAACAAAGTTAAAAGCTCTTCTCTGTTCCAGGCTATTGCCTTGTCCCTCAGGGGAGAAGGCATTGAAAGACAGAGGAAGAAATTGTGTAGCAGGATAACGGTTCCATGGAAGTTTGTGCAGCTGCTAGACGCTACGTGACGGAGCAGCTTGCTTAATCAGCACCCATTCCTTTAATCAAGGATGTTTCATTTGTTTAGCTCCCAATTGACACAAACTAGGTACTATTCGAGTCTACAGTATACCTATGAATGAGTCATGAGAGGATGCAGGAGCTAGCTTTTTTCTACCGTGAGAATAAAATTAATCAGCAATGCTAAGACCTAAACTTCAAGGTTTGCCCTCCTGTCTTGGAGGCCCCGAGTAGCTGCCAGCGAATGTGATTCGGTGCACATCTGGTCATGTTTAGCCACCAAAAGCTCTGTATAATCACATCACAGAGGAAGCAAGTGTTGACTTAATGAATCGCTGGGCTCCTGTTGAGCAGGGAAGCTGATACGACAGCAGTGCATCCGAAGAGGAGACCTGTTGGCACCTACCTCCGTCTGCACCAGATTGACCCTTTGGGATCGCAGCTCTCGCACACAGTTAAATATATCTACCACGCCTTCGTTCTCTGCCATGTCAAGCATGATGTCGATGGCAATAAAGCACCCTGTTCTCCCGGCCCCAGCACTGAAAAAAGAAAAAACAATGAGGGCCTGAATGATCAAGGGACCGTGGAGGGGCAGAGCTTTACAGAGGAGAAAATAACCGTATCACAGACACAGCTCTCTTCTCTTGGAAGCTGCTCTCCTCTCCTTAATGGGTTGATTTTTCTATGTAGCTAAATTAGCTTAGGATTTAAGAGAATGAGGTAAAATAATATTTCTTGAAAGGGAAACAGACCCAGGTAGCAGGAAAAAAAACCCCTTTGTGTTCTTGAATATCAACAAAAAATTAGGAAAATAATCATTATGATTTTCCAAGGTTGGTTCACCTGCACACCTCTCATCACACAGGATGTGGGAGAGCAGCCTCCAGCTTGCAAACAGACACAATCCCAGAATTTTTTTCCACAGCACTCTTTAAAAGGCACGCACACGTTTACTCAAGCGGGCGTGATGAAAGGGCCTCAGTCCTCCACCTCAAACACTTCCTCTCTCTTTTTAATCCGGAGGAGTTTGGGTCCTGAGGAGAGTGATTTCAAGTTGTGGATTGTAAAATTACAAAGAAAGGAGCTGGAGGCTACTCAAACCCTTCAGTTTAGAGCCCCCCACTGCTTGTGAGAATTGGACTATCTCCTGCAAAACTGTGTTGTCACTGTGTCCTCCTTCCCTCCCGGGAAATCATCCAAGCTGTTTAGGTGTGAAGGATAGCGAGAGGAGAACGTCTCTTCACATTACTCCAAAGGAAAAAGGAAAACTCGGCTCAAATCGGGGAAACTTCAGTTGCACGAAAACTCCAGCAGAGCCGAAAGCAAGGAGATAAGAATGACCATAAATTAATGGACCAGATTAATCAACTGCTGAATAGAGAGAAGATATTTTTCATTTGCAGAATTTTAATGAATAAGTGGCATTTCCTCTCCCTTTATCTCTCAGCTTTTCAGAATTTTAACAAATAGTTATAACATTTCTATATTTAGAGGATCCTGGCACTTCATAAATATCGAACAGTGATATTATCCAGCCAGGCATCGGTAGGGAGAATTTGGTAATTACCACTTAAAGCAAGTCATTAAAATTCAAAAGCAGATAAATAACAGAGAGGAAATGGCATTTATTCATTAAAATCTGAAGGATGAAAAATTTCTCCTTGCTTTCTTGGTGACAGTGTATCAGGTTCAGACTCCTCCCAGGGCCAGACCCGTGTCACGGCACCAAGGCAGCAAATTCAGGTCCCCGGCTCTGAATGAATTCCCTCCTGCCAGCTCCTCAGGCTTAGCTCTATTTTATTATAAAATTGATTCACGCTTGCTGAAAAAAAAAACAACAACAAAACAAAACACCACCCCCAACCCAAAACTATTTTTAAAAGGTAAAATTTAATTGATTTTCCTTTCTAAAGTGGTTGCGGGATGTATTCTCTCTCTCCTCCTGATCACACAGAGTGGCCCTTAGAGGTAATTGCCTGTGGACTGATTAGGGGTGAGATTTTGGGATAGCCAGCTCTGCTCTCCGGCCTTCTCCCCTTTATAGAACACGTGCCCTGAGCTGTGGGCTGAGCACTGCAGAAGTAGCTGCTACAAACCCAAACTCTGTTTTTTAAGAGTATCTTTCCTTGCGTTTGAAGTCATCTAACTGTGATGCCTGCCTGCGTGTGTGCGTGTCTGCTCTCCCACCACCGGCAGCATGCCTGATCGCACCTCAAACGGTTAGCTCTTCACGTCAGGGATACTCTCCTACCTATTCACGCAGCGCAGCAGGGTTTGCAGCTCACTTGGAAGAAAACCGCGCCGAAGAGCCCTCACCGGTAACACCAGCAGCCGGGGAGTTGTTTAGCGAGCGCGTGATTCAAGCTGTGAATTTTCACAGCTGTAAACCAAGCAGCGAGGTTCCCGCAGGCATTCCCCTTCCCGTTACTAGCTGGAAGGCACTGGGAAGGGTTTCAGGCTGACGTTCCCATTCCAGCTCCCGGGCTTTGAGGGGGCTGAGATGCTCAAGGGCTGCCGTCCAGACCCAGGAAAACAGACTAAATTTTTGATGACTATTGACGCCAGTACAAAGCTGAACTGCACATGGGTAGAAAAGCACAGTTGCTTTAAAACTCCCTGTCTTTGTCCCTTCTGCCACCTGAGGTTCGTTGTAGATAACGACTGGAATGGTTTTCCCAGATATTTACCATTTTCCCAGCTCTGCTATGAGCCTCTAAGAGAGTACAGGCCACCAGAGAGTCTTCTACATCCAAATGGCCCTCTCTGACCTACTTATAGCATCTCCAATTCATGCCAGCTAAGCTCCAGAGCTGCCACTTTAGAGAAGAAAACCGAATTCCACTTTGTTTCCTCGTGAGGCCCACAAATTATACTCTTAAACAAACAAAATGTAGTTGGTTATTGCCAGAGGAGAAGAAAAAGGGAAAAAAAGCTGAAAAAGCTGATGGAGGAAAGGCTTGGACAAAGAGCTCGCGTACCTGCAGTGCACAACAATGGGTCCTGCTTCTGGGGGATTGAGAAACTTCACTTGACGGACGAAGCCCAGGAGGCCCGTGGCATAGCAAGGAACGCCGTGGTCCGGCCAGCTGGTGAAGTGGAACTGACGAATCTCTCGGATCTCATGGTAGCCTTTCTGAGGAGACAACGCAGCCTCTATTTTTCTTCCATCATATCACAATCAGCATACTCTGGTCCCTGCTGCTTTCCCTCAAGCAGAGGGCTCAGCGAGCATTTAGGTCTCGTCACACGCGGGAACGTGTCCTGCGCCGCTTTTACTCCGAGAGATTTCAAGCTGAACTCCAAGCACAAATGAAGTGGGGAAGACGCAACTGAGGCCTACGAAGGTGAATTGGCTCCCAACTCAAACGTGTTGCCGTAAGAGCTCAAACCCAGCTGATGAGGAACTTTACAGGGTGACTTCACTGCACTTGTCCAGCCTCCTCTAGTGTTACAGCCATAAACCCCCCCCCCAAGAAGTTACTCTTGAATCCTTTTTGAGGCGTTGAAGTAACAGCCTGGGGAATGAAGGCTGAGAGGGTGGGCATGCCCCAGGCAAGGGTAGATTTTCTGCCATCTCCCGCTAAAAAAAAATCTCAGTTTGAGATTACAGCTGGTGGTGAAAAGGGCAAAAACTGGTACCCAGACCCATCGTTTGGCTTTTCTGGTGAGATCAAGTTATCAGTACGCCACAATTGACACCACTTGTATATGCCCAGCCAAGGGTGACACGGAAATGTCAGTTAGCTGTGACATTTTATCCTACAGGAAACGTAGGCAGAATCCAGCAGCAGGTCCTCTAACCTGTCAGGTTTTGGCATTAGCATTTCTTACCAGGTTTTTCCGGTGATTTAATGAAATATGGAGCTCATGGATTAAAAAACTGGAATAATATTCCCAATGTGGCTGAAGTTCATTTAGCAGGAATTTTGGAAAAGCTTTAAAACCACTTACTGAGTGTTTGGAGAGTAATTTGGACAGACCTGGAATACTCTGACACTCAGAGATCCAATTTCTAATTACACGTAACAAAAATCTTCCAAATCCTGCTGATTTGGGAATAATTTTTATACTCTTGCCTTTATTGTATTGTTATTTCTGCTGAAAGGGGACCCTACCTGGCATCCTGTTTAACTGACACCTTTTTTCATCTGCAATTTGCCACTGTGAAACATGACAGTTATTATTCCGGCACACCATCAACTATCTGCTGGCTTTTGGATGCATTTAAACTTCATGCACTGTGGATTCTACTTTTGCGGCTACATCAAGATGTTCATCTAAAATCATCCGTCCAAAATTGGAATCTCCATCGAAAATTCAGGTTTCTGAAGTGAAACCAGTCCAAATAGTAACAGCTCCCATCTCCAAGAGCGTTCTGGATACGTCTCCCAATGTTCACATTTCTAAACACAAATGTTGTACCCAAATCTCAGTCGATTGAAGATTTCCTTACCTTTTGTACAGTAAATGTGCGTATGACATACTCTGCCAATGGTTCTGTCTCAATTAATGTGACTTTAATATCTCCATAGACCTCTGTGTCATCTGGCCAGTATCGAACACACTTTACCTGGGGAGGGAGAAAAGAAAATATTGAGAGGAACTAACTTCAGTTGAGTCAGAGCTGACCTACATTTTACTCCACTTTCAAGCTGGAGCCAATGCAAATTGGGCTTTCTTCTGATGTACAGACCTTGTCAAAATTAACTGTATAAATTAGATCAAAATTCCTTTACCATATATAGAAAACACAGGGAGGATTTTTTTTTTTCAGTTTCCTGTGTTGTGAATATAAATGAAAAGGATGCATTTAGCTCTTCTTCTTTAGGAACGGCTTCCTTTAATTTCCATACACACCCTGGCCATATATCAGGTTTACAGAATACCTGGCAGCCACTACCATCATCCCCTTTGAGAAAAATCTATGTTCTTGCTAGTGCTACCATAATTCTGAACTCGCTCTGTTTAGCCAAAGAATTTCAGTTCACAGGGATTGAGAGATACTTGCTGATACATTAAATTTGTTTGACTCTAAGCTTTCCTTATCAGATGTGGACACAAATTTGACATTTTACCAGCTGTGACAGGCCTCAAACTAAGGCTCAAGAAAGAAATCTCCTGATCATGTAAAGACATCCAAGCTCAGCCAATTCTAGAAGCAACGTGCAAAGCTAATGGTAGAAACTAAAGCCAAGGCTGTGAAGCTCGAGAAGGGATATTTAGGCTAACAAAGACTATCAAGTTATTAAATGCTCTAGCATGAAAGAGTGGAACAGCACCTAAAAGCTGAAGCAATTAGCTACTGCAAAGCAGGTTTCGTTTTCCAGTTCCAGTCATAAACGAAAGGGGGTTATAAATATTAAATATGATTAATGTAGGTTTGTTGTTTTAGTTTGTTGGGTTTTTTTGTTGTTTTTTTTTTTTTTTTACACAGAGGCATTTATTTCAAACTGAAGTGTCAGTAGAAGGTAAAATAGAATAAATAACAATAAATGAAGAGAATCAGCTGGCATTCAACCATGAGATCTAAGGGAAATCAAATACAAAACAGCTGAATTACTAATGGCTGTGAGAAAACTATAATTTCAATTTTTCTTCGTACTAAAGCAATTTAAGGTGACAAACACCAGGACAAAATTTTTAAAAGCTCCAGTTTCTGGCTGAGACTGTCTGTAAACCAAAGATCAGCAGGAGTGGTAAGAATATGCTTGTGAAAGCCACCCCAGACACGTCGTCTTCTTATTCCCTAAAGTCTAACCTATGCCTTTGGACTTATTCATGTTTGCTCCCATCGCGGGCTTTGCCTACTGCCTTGTGCTGACACAGGGACTTCTGGTTCATCGGAGTCCAAGAGAGCAAAGCGGTGGGTGCTGAGGAGGCCACCGCTGCTGGGTGGCCCCAGGATCCAGCTGTGCACGACCTCGTACCACCAGGGCACAGTGACCTTCTGAAGTGACTGGAAAGTCTCGGCTTTGAACCATCATTTAAAGAGCTCTTTTGATAGTCTGAACACCAGTTGCACATTCTTGCCCCTCCGGATTTTTTGTGGGTAGAGAAGTATTCAAATTATACAGATAAAGAATAATTATTGAAGTAGTACATTTTTCCTTCTGTACGGAAAAAGGAGACAGCTTCTCAGCGAGCATAAATCTGTATAACCCTGCTAAAGCTGAGACTTACACCAGGAACACGATCCTTATTAGTCTAGAAGGGAAGCAGCTAAGTATTACAGAATGTAGCATTTTAGAGAAAAAAACGGGGCGGCTTAATTCATTCCCTTACTACAGTGAGCAAAAGGCATTACACTTGCTGAGCTCGCCTGAGCAGCAGCACCGTGAGATACCCAGTGCCGGTTTGGCTTTATATATTGGGAAAGTGGAACCCTTACCCTGCCCACTTCCACCAAGTTGGTGACCATGACAACACTTGCAGAGTTTTCTTGCCAAATCATTCTCCAGAAATCCTTCACTGTCTCCTGCATCGGCCCTGGGGCGGGAGAGAAGACAAAAGGACATCTTAAGACGGTGTATCGAATGCCAACCG